TAAATAAACTAGCCTGATGTGGGATCACACAGTGTCTCCTCATACCTGAAATAGGGGCTGCAGGCAGAGAGGATCACACGGTGCGCGTAGATCTTCTTGGCACCCACCACCAGCACCACGTCACAGAGCTCCCGGTGTTTTCTCAGCAGGTTGATCACCTCCAGGGTCTGCCTCGGGTGTTTGTCTGAGACGTAGGGCATGCGTGCAGGCTGGGGGACCCCTTCAGGGAGCTTGTTGGGGTCCCCCAGAGTACAGCGGCTGGTGATGTCCATTCCAGTGGCGTCCTGACGTGCGCTGGTGGCCCTGACATTAGCACATATCAATATACTCTTAGTTACATTAAATTAATTTCAATTAGAATAAGCTAGCCAAGAACCCACAGTGATGGTAATGCTGAGAGAATGCTGACCCCAGCCAGGCAGTCGGACCACGAACTTTAACAGGTAACAAAAGTGATGAGCAGTCAGGCTGCACCCTCCGTTTCTACCACTCATGTTTCTAAAGTACAATCACTGTGGTGATCACTCTAAAGTCTCTTTGTGCTCATTTTCATCTTTGCATTGTATTAATATCTAAATACTACGGAAAAGATCATGTGTGTTCTCATTAGGATGTGTTGGTGTGTGAGACTGTAGCTTATAGGTTTATATTTGTAAATGACAAGTGCGAGACAAGGTGTTTCAGGACATTTTGCAGAGAAACACATAAGTAACAAAGTACTTTCTCGTGGGAGTAATTAAGTTATATAGTGCATTACTTTACAAGAAAAGTGTTCCAAGTACATGCTAGGGCTGCCACGATTAGTCACGCACATTACGTCGAACTATCTAAAATCGTCGACGACTAATTTAATAGTCGTCGTCGTTTGAAGCTTTGTAAGATCCCGAAAGACGCAGGAATAAGTAGCAGGATTTAAGAGTGTAATAACGGACTGAAACAGAAGAGGCAGCACTGCATGTACAAGGACCTCATATCACCCCCCCTCCAAAGAAAAGCACTTCACTCTCAAACTGCAGGCTTACTTGTGGTTCCTAGGATATTTAAAAGTAGAATGTGATGCAGAGCCTTCAGCTTTCAGGCCCCTCTTCTGTGGGCCTAGCTCCTAGTTTGGATTCGGGATACAGACACCTACTTTTAGGATCAAGATTAAAACTTTACTTTTTGATAAAGATTACAGTTAGGCTTGAATTAGGTGACCTTAAATCCTTCTTTAGTTATGCTGCAATAGGCTTAAGGCGCCATGGGTGGCTTTGCTCACAATGAAAAGGAGGAGAATAGGTCAAAACATGGAGCCAAGACTTTGTTGAGTGGTTTTGGGTTTTTTTTGCAAAGTTATGTGCACAAACGAAACTCCTCCCCCTTTGTGTCTGTGTGTCTCTGAGCTTCTGTGCAGGATTATCAATAAAATACCGGTAAAAAGTGGCTAGATCGTAGCCGCAGCAGTTCTGACAGAGGTCTCTTCCTGTTATAAGGGCGTTTTTCTCTTCCCACTGTTGTCAAATGCTCGCTCATAGGGGGTCGTCTGGTTGTTGGGGTTTTCTCTGTGTTATTGTAGGCTCTTTACCTTACAATATAAAACGCCTTGAGGCGACTGTTGTTGTGATTTCATGCTATATAAATAAAATTGAATTGAACTGAATACAGTGTCAGTCTATGGCCATCAGCTGAACCTAATATAGCAAGGTCAGTACCCTGCATGTGCCTCAGCCAGTGTAAACTTATCCACACCGGTCGGTTGACTTGGTGTACCCCTGCATCTTTTTAAATCCCAGGATGACTTTGGGTTTGGGATTTACTTCAGCTCATGTTCCCAGTACTGGCCAAGAATTCCTAACACCTGAACGCATCCTCTTCACTTTGTGTCCTTACCATTACAGATGGGAGAAATGACATCATTGCACATACATGACCTTTGTTAAAGACGTTTTGTGGATTGTATTTAATACATAATGTAAAGTTTCAAATCTTAGTCAAAAAAAAATCAAAATAAATATCCTTTGAGTGACATATTTTCACATAATAATGTGAAAATAAAATGCAATGTAATCCAGGGCAACTCAGCAACAAGACAAAACTGCTGTGATATTTTTAAAAAAGGAACTTCATCTAGCCAGCATTCACAGGAACTGTTGGCCTGAGGAGAAAAGGTCATGATACACTGAGCCTCTAATGCTTTCACTCAAAACATTCTGACCTTTCATTATGTCATTTGAATTGCCCTAACAGTAACAGTAGGAAAAGTACAAAATTAAAAAGCTTAAGTAGGTGTGACGTTTTAAAGACTGGAGTCAAAGTAGTGGGGTAAATGAGGAGACATAAATGCTGCACCTATAGAGATTTTGATTTAAATTTAAACTGCTCCAGACTCTTATCAGAGACATTCGGGAAATTTTTTCTACTCCTGTAATTGGATGATGTCAGAGTAGGCGCCATTCCTACACGATTAGCTTTGGCTCTGGCGACACCCCACCGATCTGATGTTCAAACCTTATGTTTATAAGTGGCAGCCAATCAGATCAAAGTGTCTTAAAATGTGGGTGGTCTTTAGAGGGCTAAAATAGCTCATTTCAGACAGAAGATGAACTGAGGGGCCACAACAAGGTAGTATAAGATAAATAAGCATCATTTTGAACAATGACTCATACAAAACTACTCCAGTAGCCGAAGATTACAATTATGGACCTGAAAATTGACCTAACGAGTATCCTTTAAAGCTGCTGGTTGCACAACACAGGCAACTTTTAACTATAAAGCATAAAACGATAATTAGATACTGTCTTAGTGTTAACGTCTTAAATTAGGTCCTACCTACCCAATTACACACTGCTATTTTAGTTTTATATGACAAATGTAGAATTACGCTGTTTCATTTCACATTAATGACACTAAAACTGCCTTTACAATTAAACTTCCGGAAAATCGGGTCAGGATATTTTCTTTCCTCAGACAGAACAGAGAAAAGAGTTCACCTCAGTCACATTTCCAATATTCTGTGTGGTTTCTGCTTGGACTGCACGAGTTCATGGCTGCAACACATGCATGAAACAGCTCATGTTTATAATCTGGATGGGACCTCAGCCCTTATACACTATTATGTTACATTATACAAAAATGCTAATGTTGATCATTCTTCCCCCACCCAAAAGAGAAAAAAAATAACATAATGTCCATCCCGTTTCACCTGTAACATGCACAACAGACTCCATGAACACAGTTTTTCATTTTGCATAGTGGCTCTGGTGTTTCCCCCTTACTGTGAAAAGTTTATTTTTAGCCAGTCTTGTTTCACAGACTCCTGCTCTGCATCGTGACACCACCTATCTTCTCCAGTGGGCCATCAAACCTAAATTTAAAAGCCCAACAAAGCAGCAGAGCTAAGGTCAGTACCACCAAGTGCTATAGAGAGTTCTGGGTAGAACTTCTATTGAGCCAGCCCCTTTGATCCCGTAAAGCAGGGATTTTTCTGCCTTTTAAGCTTATGTGGTGACATAACAAGGTGTCAATGAGCCATAGAGGATCTTTAACGCTCACACTGAAGGAATTTGATTGAGGATTTCCGTGACTACCACATCTGATATAATACTGCCGTTAAAAAGAAAATTGGTAAACAGTAACCAAAGAATCTGGAATTAACAGCCACATACTTTTGCCATTCTTCCCAGAAAACTACCACACTTACCTGCGCATTGGCTTTGCATCCATGCACTGAAGAACAATGTTTGGTCCTATACTTTCAAGTTAACCTGTGAAGAAAAACAACACAAATCAGCATTTCCTGCAGTTAGTCTGACCCCCACAAATATAAGATAAAAACTAGTATTTTTTTTATATCTGATTTGTGATTCCTGCCTGCTGATGGGAAAAAATTACAACCTCTTGTGACAGCAGAATAATCATTTTTTCCTGTAATTTACTCCACACCACAATCCTACCTACCAAATTGACCACTTCTGTCAGCAAGACTGAGACCAAACAATCTACTGCTATCAAATTATGATCCTGCAATAAAACCTACCTTTGTATGCGTTTTGCTGACACTATGTGTGTGCAGCCTTCTCTCTGTAAATGTTCAGGAACTGGTGACTCACAGTGTCTTTCCGCTTCCTTCACATCTCACTCCACTATAACAAATTCTTATTGCCTTCTTCCATTCCATCAATTATTTCCTATCAAACACTTTTATCATCATATCAACCAGTATCACCCCTCTGCTGCCAGTCTTAATTTAAGTTTTTTTCCAGATCCAATAACTTTTTTGATACTCACTAAAGCATGGCTCTCTATAGGCAATCATAGTCCTCTTTTCCTCTTACCTGAGGCACACCTACACCAACCCTGGCTGGTGGGGATTGCTGTCATTTTTCTTTTTAATTTAATGCATTCCCATTTTACTGCGTAGTGTAACTTCATTCGAACATCTTGGCTTTACCAGAAAACTCTGAAGACCCTGGAATGATTTCAATATTTTACAGTCCACCCAGGCCAAACAATGTTTTACCCAAGAAGTTATCATACTTTACTCCAAATTATGATCAAATTCTTATCCTCAGTGATTTTAACATTATTAAAATTATGTTGTAACTGGTCAACCATCAATGACCATTCTAAATTTCCCTATATGAATGAATCCATCCAAGCATTCATTCATTTTCTTCTGCTTATCCATTTCATAAAAGTCACACACTTGATTCTAAAAATAAAATATCAATAGTGTAAATAAAAATAAATATCTCAGCACTGCCAGCAACTCTGTCTCACGAGTGGCACAGAATGCTAAGCTGGCTTCCACCAACTGTTGAGTTAACAGACTGCTATCTATCTCCAAACATACTACAAGTAGCTCTCACTGTTTCAAACTTCAAACACACTGCTACCATTGCAGCGAGACGGAAAGAGACAGCAGGAAATGCTTAAGCCTACTGTAATTAGTGAAGATCAGTGGACAGAAATGAGCTGAACAGCTGAAGTTAAATATCAAGATTTTTTTATGTAGTACTGTTAGTAGTGTAACTCAATCCTGACTTTTCTAGTAGTCATAAGACAGGGCAAAAAGCATTTTAAATCCCATCCCCAGTTCTTTAACCTTAACTAAAAAATTAAGCAAAAAAAAAAAAAAAAAAAAAAAAAGCAAACAAGCAATTTTACATCATTTTCAAACAAAGTGCTTTATCTCATCAAATCCTTCAAATAAATTAAATTTAACACATTAACAAAAGTCTCATCTTACAAACATCAGTTTTCACATTAATTCTCATCCATTTCATTTCATGAAATTAATGCAGTAACTTGAGCTGATGAAGTGTCTGCTTACATTAGGCAGCAGTGTAAATTCAGTACTCTTCATATGCTGGACAATGAATTTAACCCATCCAGTCCTTACGAATTCATTTTAAACCAACTCCTCTCACTCTCTATTATTTGCTCATCATCCAACCATGAAGGAACCAGTGGCTTTATTTTTCAGGCAGCAGGTTGAAGCTTAGGCATGGCTGACTGGCAGTTGTGTCAGTGAATGGGACATGTGTGGCTGCAGCAGAAGTGGGTCTGGAGTTTGGACTGTGGAAGTAACAAACTCAAAGTTATTCAATGATCATATATGTCAGTAAATAAGCATGGTTTCTGACAAGATCTCAGACTTTGATTTTAACAACAATAACTGATTCCCAGTACTGAAAATGGGATTCCTCCAAACTATCAGCAAGTGATGCAGAGATTACCTTAGCTCTGAGTTTCCTGCGTATTGGTAGATTCAAAGACTGATCAGCATAGCAATGACCGTATTACCATCAGTGTTGGGGAGTAACGCAATACATGTACCGCCATTACTCATATTTTGTATTTTAAATACGTAACTGTATTCTGTTACAGTTGCTGTTTAAGAAGGTGGTATTCAGAATCAGTGTTGGTCAAGTTACTTGAAAAAGTAATCAGTAACTAATTACTGATTACTTCCCCCAAAAAGTAATCCCATTACTTTACTGATTACTTATTTTCAAAAGTAATTAATTACTTAGTTACTTTTTAAAAACGATTTACAACCTGAATAGGTGATAAAGTGATAGATCTTTCAGCCCAATTCTACTTTTTCTACATAATCCAACATACAAAATGTAATCAAATGGAAAAGTCTCTTTTTAAAACTTGTTTTATTAGTTTTAATCTTTTAACTTTATGCATCAAGCAAAAATTTAATTATATGCAACATTCTCTGACTGGAAGAAATTAGCTTAACATTTAAACCT